CAAAGAATTTCCACTATATTGTCTTAAAAGGATCATGGCCAAGATTACATTCGACACAAAACATACCGGTGACTGTCGAAGAATAATTAAGGACTCAAAAACCCCAGTTATGAAGACGTGCAGGCGCAAAAAAGTTATATAAAGAATCCATAATCATTTATAACAAGCTTTTTAATATATATATATATATATATATATATATATATATATATATATATATATGTATAATACATAAGAGCAAGATGTTCAAATATAGGATAGTAAATGGGAACAAGTAGGAAAAATAAAATTCTCAAGCACACGTCACAGTAATGAGTTATGCGGTCATTTTACTATTCGAGACGGCGGAGTAAACATGTAGAGCGACAGAAAAAATTACATGCAAGAAGTGTAAATGCTTCTTGTAACACTTTGTGAGATTACTCATTTTTTAACTTTCATGTTGTCGGTTGGAGCATAAAGAAGGGGAATATATACTTTCCTTAATGATTTAGTGTGCATTGATATCCTCTTGTCTAACTTTGAATATATTCTTGTAGAAGACAAAAAAGGCGTTGGTACAAGAAATAATAAAGGCCTCTCGGTGCCCCTGAGTCTCATTCAGTTCAATCTTGTCGTGCATATAGGGTGTGTTTCCCTGGGTGTGTTGAGGGACAGAGCCCACTATCAACCCTCCCCTCAGGCAGGACATGCCCAGTCACAGCAACTTAGATTGGTAATTCTTTACAGTGTGTACACACTCGCCAGAGATTATGTTCTCAACTTCACAAAATTTATTCAACAATCTAAAAATTGCCCTGTCTGGGCATGCCGGAGGGAAGAGTTAATGGAGGACTCTTGATTTATTAGTCCCAAAAGCAGGGGTGGATATGAAGTATATCAAGGAAATTATGGGGTAAAACAGGCTTAAATAAGAATCTAGAACAAAGATGTGAAAAGCCAATGCAGACCAATGAAACTCTACAGACATGCCCTTCATCTTTGAAAGTCTATGGACCGATGGGATAAGATTTTAAAAACTCTACAGGAATACAACCCACCTTTTGGCAAAAGCTACGGGAATTCAAATCTTCCAATCCTCCCAAAAAAGCATGACCGATAACCCAACCTATATTAACAACCAAAGTTGCCGTGACTAGGTATATCCTCTGGGAACTGCCCGAGGGGAAGGTTGAAGGCTTAGCCCCGAACCACTCCCGGGACATGTTCTCTTCACCTTGGTATGTACGGCAAGAGAGAGCTTCATGCTATAAGCATTAAACTAAATAGCTTTATATCTTAAAACCCCAAACTTTCCTTGGTTTCTCTTTACTCTCTGGACTGTTCGTTTCTAAACACTTTTTTTTTCGGCATTTGGGACATTTTATGGACTCGGATATCAAACTATGATGGTCATTAAGGTTTATTTTTTCGTTGGCACTATGTGGTTTTGAGAATGACGCAGAATTGATGCTACACCGAAAACGAAACATTTCTGCCGGCCTTCTGTTCCGGAATGGCCAATGATCCTCGTAAAAAAACTGGTTCCTGATAATGCGCTTATGCCATTAAAAAGTGTGGAACAGCAAACACTAATGATTAATAAAATATTTGGGCAAAAGCATAGTAACACATGAGCTACTTGGCATATCGCTGTAATGAGTTCTGTGGTCAGTGCAGTGTTTACCCTCGACATGTAAACAAGATGAACGATTTAGCTAAAAGTTGGCACTCACCTCTGTTCTTTTACATATAGCACCTTAAGGAAGCATTTGCACAAATATTGCCAAAACTGAAAATTCTTTTTTTTATTCAATTTCATATAGGTTTTATTGCCCAGTTCCATCACTACCACCCTGCAAGGGGGTGCTGGTGTTTGCAGTGGGGATGCTTCCACAGCACATACCAGCTCCTGGAAGTTTTGTTCCTTTCCAGCCCCAGTTACAGAAGTGACCTCTTCTCTGGTTTCCTTAATCTCCTCTGGTATTTGGGACGTGTGTGCGTGGTGACCTTTGTCTCTGGGAGAAGGGAGTCCTGGGGACTGAGTGATGCTGCACGCTGCACCCTGTGGCTAGCAATATATTCCTTTGGTCACCGATTCCGGCTAGACGGGAAACATGGTCTCGACACGATCAGGTCAATCAGCTAGTTAGCGACATTTTCATTTGAAAAATGTACTGGCTAGGGTTAATTAACGTATGGAAACATAGTGTGTATGAGGTGTGAGGAAGTGTAAAGAACGTAGATATAGCGGGTAAATGCATGTATGTGTATATGACTAAATGTGCTGTGCGAGAGTGTAAAAGACTGTTAAGCATGTATTTAAGCTGGAGAGACGTGTGCGTAGGACTTCTCAAGACACAGATGGTAAGCTATCTAGCTTTGCATATAGCTTCTTGACCTAATGTTCATTTCCCCGCTACAGTCCTTTAAAATTCATCTTTCACAGCACTTCGGTAGGGTGAGTATAGAGACGATTTAAAACCAAACATTTATTAAAAGAACTGAATGAGAAAACATACAAGTAAACCACAGAAGAAACTAGTAAAACAGACAAGACACGTAAAATGATGAAGTAAAACACGTAAAACTGACATAAAACATGAACTTCAAAAAATTTAAAATTAAAAGAAGCACCGATCTTAGTTTCCCCTATACTTAATTAAAAAGGGCCATGAATCTTCTCCCAATACCTCAGTAATAAAACATACAGAGCAGAGGGCACGTTCCGGGGTTCTCTGACAACCTCTCTCGACCAGCGTGATCACGATACCTCTCTTCCCTCATTAACTTTTCAGCGGAAATGTTTATGATAAGTGAGGGTGTTTCTCTTTTAATAATAAAATTATCAAATGCTTGGAAAAAGTATATATTGAAAGCTAAAAATAAAGATAAAATAACAAAAATAAATGAGATGCATAAAATGTTCTATAGTTCACCCTTTATATATTCTCTTTGTGAAGTAAATGTTCGTGTCTTATGAAGGATGGACAAAAAAAAAAAAAAAAAAAAAAAAAAAACTAATAATAGATATGTTTAATACCATAAAACACTTGAAAAGGAATGGAGGCGGCCACGTATTCTATCCTTGCCTTGGTGAGCGTTTTTTAGGAGTATTCTCAGGGCGAGTGTAGAGCATCCTCACACCACGGAGATAAAAATGCCTCCCCCTGTAGGACTCCGTGGTGGGTGGGGTGGATGGACATGAACATGAAATAAATCTCAGAATAAATATTTTAAATTACCTCAACCTGTTTCTCTCCCTGATGTCCACTCGCTTCTGGCCGCCGCCTCTCGACCATCGCTCATTGTAATTTGGGAACCCTATACGACTCTAAGTGACATTAAGGAATTTTCTGCCTCTTCCAATACGCCACCCTCATCTGGTGGAACTCGTCATAAGAACCGTAAGCTGGGGACAAAAATGCTTGGTCCAACAGTAGAGATACTATGAGGGAGGTTTAAATCAGCTATGATAAATATATAACCCTAAAATCTGTAAATGACCTCCCCATCACAAATCTTGACAAATTTGAAGTCCATCGATGCATTGTAAAGGCCTGCGGACGTAAATCTAAAATAACGCCTACTGGTACTCCCTCATTCTAATTATTATATTGCACAATTATAATGTACTTATTTCTTTTTATTTGTTACCAAAAGTATATCAACTAATGCATAATATGCATTATGCAATAATGCCCTCCATTGATTTGAGATTAGCACATGCCCTAATACCCTGCAGTGGCATTAAAATGATTCTGAACTCCGTTTTCCCTACAATGAATTAATACATAATAACATTTATCGAAGTGTTGTACAGACGTAAGATAAGCCTAATCATCTGTAGTACCATAGTCGTTTACTATAGATTATGATACCAAGGAACATGGAAGGTGTAAATTTATACTTTTTTCTCCAAATAATTTTAGTCAGGTTCTCAAAGGAATGGTTTAAGGCTATTAGAAAGCTCAGGTTAAAAGTAGTTTGACGTCTAGTGGGCTAAGGCATCTTTTGGCTAGAGAACAAAGGATGCTTAGACGGAGTATAGCTCTAACATCTTTCATCTTTTAAGCACCTTTGTTTTTCAGGCATGTTTAGTTGCAGGGATTGTGGAGGCAACATCTCCTTATTGCTTCGACATAGACAAGAAGACGGGGAAGCAGTTGTGTTGTCCACTCGGGAAAAACGAAAATGGAGGTAATCCAGGATTTTTTTTTCTGTGAACAGAGAAAATTATTCTTATAATGAATATATCTATTATGGATAATGAGATTTGATATATTATTTTGCCATATATGACAGAAAATTTTAATGTTTCAGTGTGTGTGGAATACCTTCCGAAGAATTCCCTCAGGCATATGAAAGGCGTTGAGAGTATCGAGCAGTTTAACGAAACGAAAGCCTATGTCGTCTCGCCACCACAAGACAGGTGCTTTGGTACTCTTTGAAGAGTTCATTCTAGAGAAAATCGTCCGATTCCTCTATAGGCAAGACTAAGTAGGGAATAAAACTGAGCATACCAAAAGGATGTTTTGTATGAATAATTGGATCTTTTCCAGCCGTCCACACATCCCTCGAAATATTCTTGAGATTTTGTTTACCAAAGTTTTAAAAACACGTGCCCAAAAGGGTGAAAGAAATAACTTTTTCCACTCACATTTGAATCAAAGTCAAAGCTTCTTGAACATACTGAAGCCCACTGTCCTGGAGCCATTCTTTCATTTTTTTCTCGCAATTGCAGTGATGAGTCGTGTTGCTGTTTGGAGGAGAAGGAACGGATGTTGCTGAAAACCGTGGTGGCAGAAGGGGGTAAGTTTCGGCGGCGTCCAGGACCAAAGTGTTCTCTTGAGATAATCATGCTTAATGTATTTGCGGTTTTATTCACTGTCTTTGAATTTGTATGTATTTATCTTCAAGGGAGGGCACTTTTGTAATGCCACTGTTGATTGAGGACAATGTCTGACAAAATTTTAACAATTCCATATTTATGCATGGCCTAAATATTTAAATTATTGAATACACAGAAGCAAATACGAATCAACTTCATTTCTTTGTAACCTGAAAATATATTTAAATTATTGGTTGTCTATTGTTAATGAAAGATCGTGCTGGCTTAGATTATAGCTGTTGTTTCCACTTTTATTTTGGGGATTTCCTATCTCCGTAATGTAACATAGTATATTTGACAATCTAAGAGTGATAAAATGCTTTTAAATGTATTCTGAACTGCACTTCCCCACAACACATGGTATCAGGAGAAACCTATGAAGTGGCGCAGAGTGACCCAAATATGGTGCAACCCGTGGAGACAGTGATTTGCCGCCTCACACCTTGCATAACACCATCTCATCGCCAAGACAAGGGTATCAGATGCTCACAGGTAGATATCGTACTGTGTTTCTCCATATACATGATTTAACGCTGCTAGCCCAGTGACAGCTGATGGCATTTGACTGATATATTTGAGCTGGTTATTTTTATGGAGCATCTTGTGGCTCAAATATTTTAAACAAAACTTTGTGGTTGAAGAAACAGCAAATTTCATTTTTGAAAAATAATAGTACGTCGGGATTAGTTGCCAATTTTTTCTTTCATTTTATTATTCATTTGTTTATAAGTATTGCTTTTTTTTTTTTTTTTTTAGAAATGGAAGAGCTGGGAGGTGTACGTAAAGGACCCGGCTAATGAAGATCGGTTACGCGTTGTGAGTTTCAAGGTGCCAAGCGGGTGTCTCTGTGCCTCCAACGCAGAGGGCGTTCAAGACCGGAAGCTGCAGGACCCATCTGCCTTTGACCTCGATCACTGGCTCCAGACTGAAGTGCGTAGGTTGTTTTTGAACGCTGATGACATGTACGACACTCATCCAACGGTGACGGGCACAAGAACGCTGAGGTACCCTGTGAAAAGGCAGACGCACAACACGCAAGGGAGTGAGGCAATGTCGACCGTAAGGATTCTGGCGCTCATCCTATCCAAGGTGGAACCATCCGCCAGACTTCCCATTTTCCAGGAGGTGAAGGGGATCATGAGCGAAAAGGTAAACTACATGCGAGAAGCAAGAAAGATCATCGAGGCGATCTTTGGCGGGGGCGGGACGGCCGATGGCGCCTCTGCTGACTCTGTGGTTTCCTCTGCTGGTTCTACCGCGAAGCCAAACCCAGGCCCGCAGCCACAGGAGACCGAAGACACCCTCAAAGTGAAGGTAATCCAATTCTTATTAAGACGTGTGATGGCCGAGGTGATGTGTAACGCAACGGTGGTCGTCAAACTGGACGAGCACAAGACGCCCTCCTTCCTCCCGCCGGAATTTGCCAGGGAATTGCAGCGGAATGGCACCGCCCTGCTCTCGCCCGTGGCCTGCGTGCTCGTCTCCACCGCCCTCCGTTGCGGCGACACGGACGTCCTGGAGGCCATCAGCGACGGACGCCTCGCGCGCATGATCGTGGGCGCCGAGACGGTCAGCGAAGGCATTGCGAAGGTACCGGCGGGGGCGGAGAGACGAGGAGGTGGAGGAGCAGTAGGCGTGGGAGGAGTGCATGAAGTTTGAGCACTAATTGTAGTATTTGGAGTGTGATTATTATTAGTAGTATATGGAGTATGAGTAATAGTAGTAGTCTGTCGAGTATGGGTAGTAGTAGTAGTAGTAGTAGTGCGTGGAGGATGAGAATTACTAGTAATAATAGTATGTGGAGTATTATTATTATTAGTTGTATGTGGAGTAGTAGTAGTAGCAGTAGTATGTGGAGTAGTAGTAGTAGTAGTAGTAGATGTGGAGTATGAGTAGTAGTAGTAGTAGTAGTATGTGGAGTAGTAGTAGTAGTAGTAGGAGTAGTAGTAGTAGTAGTAGTATGAGTAATAGTAGTAGTCGTAGTAGCAGTAGTATGTGTAGTAGTAGTAGTAGTATGTGGAGTATTAGTAGTAGTAGTAGTCGTAGTAGTAGTAGTAGTAGTAGTAAGTAGTAGTAGTCGTAGTAGTAGTAAGTAGTAGTAGTAGTAAGTAGTGTAGTAGTAGTAGTATGTAGTATGAGTAGTAGTAGTAGTAGTAGTATGTAGTATGAGTAGTAGTCGTAGTAGTAGTAGTAGTAGTAGTAGTAGTAGTAGTAGTAGTATGTGGAGTAGTAGTAGTAGTAGTAGTATGTCCGTAGTAGTAGTAGTATGTGGAGTATGAGTAGTAGTCGTAGTAGTAGTAGTAGTATGTAGTATGAGTACTAGTAGTAGTAGTAGTAGTAGTATGTGGAGTATTAGTAGTAGTCGTAGTAGTAGTAGTAGTATGTGGAGTCCTTCTCATTGGCGAGATGCTCTTATCCTACCTTTCTTAAAACCCAATAAATCAGGTACCCTACCCCAAACTACTAGAACGAATGGTCATCTTCCGTTTAATGTGGTACCTTGAATCTCATAATCTCCTTTCCCCTTCCCAGTTTGGTTTCCGACGCGCCCGAAGTACAGCAGACCCACTTGCCCATTTCGAGATATATATTACATCGGCATTTGCACGCCATGAATCCGTATTAGCCATATTCTTTGATCTAGAAAAAGCATATGATGCCACATGGCGATACCATATCCTCCAACAATTGTCCTTAGGTTTACGTGGAAACATGGGCGTTTTCATTAAATCATTCCTTTCTAAGCGTACTTTCCAGGTCAAAATTGCCTCTTCCACGTCACCATCCTTTCCTCAATTCGAAGGCGTCCCACAAGGTAGTGTGCTTAGTACCACTTTATTCCTTATTGCTGTAAATGACATAGTCTCAGTCCTACCACCAGGAGCCCGAGCATCACTATATGTTGATGACAACCATTTGCATCTGGCAATTCTATACCAGATCTGTCAATTCCTACAGTCTGCAATAACATCAGTAACTTCTTGGGCCACCAACCATGGCTTTCGCTTCTCTACCTCCAAATCTTTCCCCATCCTTTTCTCTCGCTCACGTACGGTCCCCCAAACCCCCACTCTTCTTAAATAACGCTCCACTCCAATACCGTTCTTCTGGCAAATTCCTAGGCGTTATATTTGATTCCAAATTGTCCTGGCGAGACTATATCTTGTACATCAAAGAAAAAGCTCAACGCCGCCTCTGAATCTTACAAACTCTTGCGATCTAAGCCCCAGGAGATGTGTGAAAAACTCTCCTCCACCTTCATGTTACCTTGATTCTCTCCACTCTAGATTATGGATGCCATATTTACTCCTCTGCATCAACCTCTCTTCTTGCTCACCTTGATACAATCCACCACAGCGGTCTCCACTTAGCCCTAAGCGCCTTCCGCTCCTCTCCAGTTGAGAGCCTATATACTGAATCAGGCATGCCGTCCCTCTCTCGATGTCGAGCCCTTCTCTCTCTCCGATGCTATGCTCGATTTCACCAATTTTCTCTTACCAAACTAACTATTCCACAATCCTTACTTCATACCTTTACCTCTTCTCCACGTTTACCAACTCCTCTCCCCATACACATTGGATACCCTCCTCTCCCATTCCCCCTTTCCTCACCTCCGACGGACCTCCCCCCTTTGCCATGGTCCATGGCTTATACCTAACCCCTGTATTTGCTCCTCAGTTTTCCCTGCCCCACCAAAATCAGATATTCCCCCCTCTATCCTTCTCACTCATTTCCTTGACCATGTCTCCGTTCATTCTTTCAGCATTCATGTTTACACTGACTGTTCCAAATCTATCTCAGGAGCTGGATTCGCAGTAACATTCCCAAACTGCACTTTCAAATACACCCTCCCTCCTGAATCTAGTGTCCTTACTACAGAACTGTATGCACTCGTTTTTGCCTTAAGACGCATATACTCATCCCCCTCTTCCTCTTTTACTATTTTTACTGACTCCTGTAACTCTTTAACCCTCATAAAGTCTATACACTTGACCAATCCCCTTGTCTGTAAGATCCAGAACTGGTTGTTCTATCTATCCACACATCACAAATCTGTCTTATTTTGCTGGGTACCCAGCCATGTTGAAATCCCTGGCAATGAACAGGCAGATACTCTTACACGCTATGCAGCAATGTCCACATCGCCTCAACCACGCTTCTCACACATTCCAGCTACGGATTATTACCCCCACTTTAAAACCTTGTATACCCGATGGCAGTCTTTTTGGTCAAGACTACACAACAATAAATTACATACTGTAAAACCATCAATCTCCTCTTGGTCAGCTCCATTTCACAAAAACAGACGTTGGGAGACGGCCCTCGCATGTTTATGTATTGGCCACACTCGCCTAACACACGCCTATCTAATGTCATGCTCAGACCCGCCCCTATGTCCTCTATGTAACGTCCCTCTTTCAGTTCCACACATTCACTTGTCCTGTCCACGCTTTAATACAGCATGTACCTCTGCTTTTCCACACCTATCCTCCCTTCACCGACCTCCCAACATATCAGACATCCTTACAGAATCCCACAACTTCTGCCTTGACAACCTGTTCTTCCTCAGATGCATAAATATCCTTCACTTGATCTAACTCCCTTACCTAAACCACCATAACCTTTTCCCCCATCTTCAACCTTTCAACACTACTACAGATAGGTGACACATAGCAACTATCACCTGACATCCCCCTTTACTATACCTTCCTATAGTGCTATATGACCTTAGATGTCTAGCACATATATTTTAACCATTAACCATTAGACTAACTCTGCATTACAGATATTCTATCTGCTTTGGAACTGTTTAGGTTGAATGATATAACTATACTCCTATTTCTTTTTCATAAAGTATATTTGCATAATTATCAGAACAAGTTGAAATGAATTTATTGATGTCATTTTCAAACCTTTGCCTCTTTTTGTATTTAGACAGCATAATATTATTACATGTGGTAAAATATGATCTCTGAATAAGAGGCAATAATAATTCTTGCTTCTGTGGCCATAAGAAATTGCCCCCAGTGAATGTTGTACAAGTCGAATATTCTTTTCACATTTTGTCAATGCTAAATTTTGCATCTAAGCACGCTTGTAGATCCCTTCTCAACTTCTGAGTCTCCAGAACATTACTAATTACGAAATCTTGGTTACAGGTTCTGGATGATAACAATGGCAAAATTAGTGCCGTGTTCCAATTAGCGAGGGACAACACTACCTCTCAAATAGTGATTGATGAGAGCAAAGTTGCAGAAATTCAGGGTTTCTTTGATAGAGTTCTTAAAGCCACTGGTAATAGTGCCAGCACGACTATTTCTGAAACTACAGTGTGGATAACACCAACCGGAAATGACAATCCATCAACATTTGGAATGTCTCTCAACAAACTGACTTTGCCAATTGTGACGTCAGATCCAGTAAATGTAACACCAAGTAATTCACAAGGATCAGAGGAGCCCATGGTGAACCCAGTGATACCTCCTGGAGACCAACTTCCTCCATCAGAGTATATGAGCTTCAATGACACCGGTGCTGTCCTGAGCAGTTTTTTAAACGGGACAGCTGAGGGAGGAAAGCCTGTTACACCAACCGGCAATGACAATCCATCAACATTTGGAATGCCTCAACAAACTGTGACTTTGCCAACTGTGGCATTAGATCCAGTAAATGTAACACCAAGTAATTCACAAGGATCAGAGGAGCCCATGGTGAACCCAGTGATACCTCCTGGAGACCAACTTCCTCCATCAGAGTATGCAAGCTTCAATGACACTGGTGCTGTCCTGAGCAGCTTTTTAAACATGACGGCTGAGGGAGGAAAGCCTGTTACATTAACGACCTCAGCCCCAATTCAGACTGTGATGGAGAGCGGGACCACGAGTATATCCGAGGTCCAGACTGAAGAGACTCCTACGACTACTGTAACTTCGGATTTTCCTTCGACAGTAACTGTTGAGATATCAGAAGCACCTACAACATTTACTGACTCTTCTGCTACTGATGGGACGATGGAATCATCTTTTTCAGTCACAACTGGTAAGACTACTACGTCGTTTACTGATGAGACAACATATTCTTCATTGACAGTGACAAAGGTAACTGAATATTCAGCATCAATGACTGAGGAAGAAACTACTGCCTCAGTTAGTGCAGAAACATATGCTCCTTTGTCATCAACTGATGTTTCGAATTTTCAGACTGAGACGACGACTGAAACGGTAACTGAAGATTCAACAGAGGAAACAGAGTTGACAACTACCTCAATGACTGAAGGAACAGAAAGTAATAGCTTTCTAACTACACTCTCTATGACCATGGGAATAACTACAGAAGAAACGACCACAACGGAAGAATCTACAGCGTCCGTTACCAATGAGTCGGTGACCGAAGCAACAGTTACTGGGGAATCGACTACCAAAGAAATATCTATGGAAGAAGCGGCAACAACAGGAGCAGCAGTCTATGAGGAATCGACACCCAGACAGACGGCAACAGAGGGAACAGTTACAGAGGGCTCAACTTCTGAGGAGATGGTAACAGAAGAGACAATCACAGAGGGATCGACGCTCAAACAGACTACAGCAGAAGGAACAGTCATTACTGCGGAATCGACGCCCAGAGTGACGGCAACTGAAGCAGCAGTGACGAAGGTATCGACATCCGTCACTGAGATAGAATTCACTACACCTTTACCTGACAATGCAGTAGTAGTCAGTCCAGTAATTCCTTTAGAAGAGGATTTACCCGAGCAAGAATATCAGCCCGTGGACATTCCAGTCGAATTTATACTTAACTTTCTCAGTTAATTCGCGTGTTGTATTGCAGTTCATTGTGCTTCAGCTGGGTGTATGATTGCGTGTGCGATTGTGTATTTGTATGCGGGGTGAACATGGATATTTTTTGGTGTCATTTCGTGAATATTTTATGATTATTGATTTTTATAGTTTGTATCCGTTCAGCTAGTTACCAGACCTTGAGAAAGAACCCTTTGTAATATTCATATATCTCGCTACATGGAATAACATGAAATATTCAAACAAGAAATACAAATTGTGATCAATAAATGCTCCCTTCATGGAAGCCCAGTTCCCTTTTTTTAAATGATCGAAATAATTTTGCGATACTCTGGTGTTGATAATACTTCGCCTGACTGTCAAGAGGAGCTGTGCGATTGTATACATGCTGGGGAAAAGATTTAAGTTGTATATAATGATAGCAAGTTGGTGCAGAAAGTATTAATGGCATTATTTGTTGAAAATGTTTTTTATCACAGTTTTAAGTTTTTGTTATTAAAACTTTTATAAATACAATGTGTTTTATTCAGCATATTCTGAGATGGGTAAAATTTTAAAATTAGGCCTATTTCACATTACAAAAATGTTTCAAAGCATAGTTGTTAAAGTGGTTACTACAGTATCAGAATCTGTAGAATGCAGACATTGACACTGGGTCGCTTTCACTGATGGAAACTATACCAGCTTTTACCATAAGATCTAGGTTAGAATGCCAGCCGTTTGTATGGAAGGATAATTACATTTAAAAGACCATAGCCCCAATATCCATCCCAACACTCATCCTCCTCCTACTCATACCCCTACACCACTTCCTCCAACTCCCTCCCAACATAATCCAACCCCCTCAACTCCAACTACACGTACATTCTCTCCCCCTCCATCCCCTCTATCATTTCCACTCCCTCCTGAATACACACTTGAAACTCTTATGTAATTCCCTTACCTAGACCCACCATAGCCCATTCACACAACTATATCTTTAACCTTTTTAAGACTACTCTAGACAGTTGACGCAAAGGAACTATCACTCTTCACCCCTCCTTTAATATACTTTCCTATAGTTCTATTTGACCTTAGATGTCTAGCACATTTATTTTGCTTTTTAACCATTAACCATTCATTGTCTACCCACTCTCCCTTATTACTGCTGCTCATCCTTATTGTCCAACTTCACTCCACACCACCCCATCATCTTCCTCCTCCCGTCCTTCTACTATTCCACCTCTGCATACCTTTTGAGTACTCTTTGGCTCGGCCAAGTGGGATCGATTCTTTGTGGTTTTCCCCACAGCCCCTTACTCTGGCAATATCCTTCTCTTCCAGTGTCTCAAAAAACAAGTAGGCAAATTTTCCTTTCGCAGTCGTTCCGATCCTTCACGCCTTGTCACAATTTTATCTGAATCACAAGGTCGTGTACTATCTACCCTGACTAACCTTCAAAACCTATTCGTGCAAAACCTTGCTCCTCTCTTACTGGTTGTACTGGAACTGTTTATCTCCCCGACTGATTTTCCTAAGACAAGAACTAGTCAGACTGTGAAAATGACTTACTTGCCTACCTTGTTGATTATGATGCAGTGGCAGTACAGTGCTACACTATCCCTCCCAAGGGACAGTACAAGTTTATCAATATTGCCAAGATTAGTTTCCATGGACATGACCTCCCAATGAAGTTTTTATTGGTGGAGTGTCCTACCATGTCTGACCATTTCGACAGTTTACTCGTCAATGTCAGAAATTTAAGCGTTTTGGCAACCCAGCCAAACACTTGCTCCACAGACCACTGCCCTGCATGTGCCCAACCTGGTCAAAATCGTTCAAATTGCTCTACTCAGTCACATACATGTGCCAAGTATAGTGGCTCCCATAGTGTATTATACAAGAGCTCGAATGCGAGTTAGCAATTCTCAGATTCAAACTAGCCTCACTCAATATGGTGCCACCGACAAGGTTTTCCCTCTCTACCTAATCCAATACTGTCCTTCGCTTTGCTCCTTTCCCTTCTTTTTTTTTTTTTTATAGATGTAACAGTATCTCTTTCGCTATCTCGAACCGTCCTACCTTTTCTCCCCCTCTCCCCCAGTCAAATTAATTTTTCCAATCGAAATCCAGATACTCTAATCTCTACCACTTCCCCAATGCCTACTCTTCCTTTTCACTTTACCTGCTGCACCAGGCAACCTAAATATTCCACTCTACTTTCCTACACCCTCTTCTTCCTCTGCTCCTCGGATATCTATCCCCTCTTTTCCTCCATACAAGGACACCTTTGTTTCTGTCCTCTTCACCCAACACCCTCGAGAAACTTTTGAAGTTTTCAAACTTCAAAAAGATGACCTGAGGGAACACTGCTCCCTCATCCATCCTCCAATCCTTCTGTTCTTACTCCCTTTATCGTTGCCGATCCTCCATCCTCCTCTTCAAGTTTCCCCTACCCCCGCCCCCCCCCTTCCTCCTATACTTTTCAAACACACTCCATTCTCTCCTTCTCTATGTGCTTCATTCCCTCTTCGTTCTCCATTATCCCTACCGCTCCTACCTGAATGCTCGCGTAAATCCTTGTCACAATAGTGCCCTTCACTAGACCCCCCCCCCCCTCCTGATACTCTTACTACACCACCTTCCCCAGTCCTCTATTCTCATCCCCCAGATTAATCTTCTCCTACTTCTCCGACAACCATTTATGTTTTCCTTGAACAATGTCCTTATTCCTTCCCTAGTCACAGATACACTCCATTACATTAAATTGCAGTTAAACTTTTTTTTTTTCTTTTTTTGTACTAATCTCTACTTTATTTCATTCGTTCCCCTGTTTACCCTGTCTAATCTTTGAGATCTAACACATTTTGTCCTAGTCTTTAACTCTTTTTTATTCTTTCCACCACAATACTTTACCATATTGCTATATGACCTTTGGTGTCTGTTTGATAGTTATTTGATACAAATAGACCATTAACCAATTGCTCATGAGGGGGGGGGCTGATTGAGGTGACGGAGACTGAGACCCCATGTAAGGGATCGCCCTTATCTTGGACCTTAGGTCTCGTTTCATCTATTTCCCTTTTTTCCATCCCCCTTTTATATCCACGCCATAAAGTGTGAGCGCCTTTCTGAAAGGATGAAAGACTGGCTTTGCGTCAGTCCATCTGCTCCTTCCTCTTTACCCTCTTCACTTCACTTCACTAGCCTACTGCGCTCTACAACCTTTGGCATCAAACATATTTTGTCCTAATTGTTAGCAATTTTTTAACCTTTTCGCCACACTGGCCTTTCCTTACCTCGGGGCTTTGCCCCCAAGCCTCACCCTATTGCCAAATTTTGTATACGCCGCAAATAACCTTAAATAAATGAATCGTGACAAAAATGATCACATGAGTGGCGTATGTATACATAAACTCGTCTAAATTATTAACCAGCGTTTATTTATTTTATTATATCACAAAGGTAATTGATATTTTAAGAGTTCCAACTATACATATATTTAAAATAAAACATATAACGAAATGACTCATTACCGTCCGCCACATTAAACTGATATAACCGTAAGAGGACCATTTTTCTAGTCCAAACACAAACGCTGTTATAAGGAAAATCTGAAATCGATATCTCACAGATGTACAAATGCATTTTCAATATTTTGCAGCATCGAATTATCGCCAAGACCTTATACACTGTATATCGATATCAGTATCTTGTCCTTTGGAATGTATATAGACGTCACTATTCCTGAGGATCCAGCACGGAATACACCAGTCACATTTCCATTTTCTTAAAACGCACAATGAAGTCATACCTGTTCCAGATATTATACGAATACAAGACAGCACAGTATATAAGTAAAAATGGATACCATCTTTGTTCATTAGATATAGAATTTCCTCAAGGGGCATAATAGAACAATAACATGCACAAGAACATATATTATAACATGAATCTTCAATAAATTATTGTCGCACATAATGGCCTGTCCAACCAAGCGGGCATGATCGGCGGACACACGGAAGGGCACGAATAGAGATGACGTCACGAGCGGACAAACGACTCGGTAAACAAGTAGTTTCCACGTTAATCGCCTGTGACGTCATATTAACAGTCGCCCGCCGATGTCCCCGCCAATCATGCCCGCTTTTGTTCATGGAGGAAGAATGTAGAGTTTTTGCTTGGAAAAGCTACATAATATAATGCATACGACAAATAGACCCAAAAGTATATAATGAGAGAGATAAAGATAAAGAGAGAGAGAGAAAACAATATGAGAAAGGTAAGTTGAATTGTATATGCACGTGTGAGCGAGTTTTGTCATTTTGTCTGCATGCGTTTCTGTATATGTTCCTGAGCTTGTATTAAAACCAGACCCTAACCATGATATTTTGCAAAACATTGACAACTTATAAACATAGGGTTAAAAAGTTTATATACCGTTAAGGATACGACGTTCCAGAAAGCACAATCAATGCACTCAAGCAACTGCACCAGGCAATCAGTCTCGCTTCTTCCTTCAACAGTGATATACATACTAAGAGCATTTCGATACAGCACAGCCTAAAATGTAACAGAGAATGCGCATTTGTTTCGATCTGAGCTCAGAGTGATACCAAAGGTACATCTGACTTATTTCAGCCTTTACATACGGAGGACTGACAAACAAACTGCATCAAAGATATAAAAAATAAATATTTCTTCTTCGTCTGTCATTTGTCACACTTACGTGCAAATTTACGATAAAACATTCCATATATGTAGACTCATACGATCTACAATTTCGCTAATAGACTGCAGTCAACTACGGTTGCGTCAAGCGCGGCACTTGTCGAGGCGTCTGCGGTCGGACCGACAGACCGCCGGGGATGAAGGCATTCGGTGTCTCCCTCGGGCCAGGAAGGCCGACGTCGCCGCCTTCGCGACAACAGGAGCGGCTGCGATGCTAGAGCTCAGGCATCGGAAAACAATGAACAATAGGTTACTGTCGCAAAATAATAATCATAACCGCGTTTGCAATTAAACCTTGCAAAATTGGTACTTGCATTGCAATTGTATATACATTTTCACTGCATGATACATAGTTAAACACCGATTACACACCCCAACCAACGGCGAAGCCTGGGCTCCAGCGTGGCAATCGCACCATTGCCGCAACGGCGGTGCCATCGGGGTGGGCGTCCGCAGCCCAGCAAGGGAGTGGCAAGCAACTGCTGAAGCTTACGGCGAAGCGGGAGGGTCGGGGACACGGCGCTCCCCTTGGCAAAGTCTCTTTTCTCTGTCGGTGGGATCGCATTTCCCGTCACCAGGTGGGGATTTTTGAAAACCTAGTTTTGCACTACCGGACATGTGGCTTTGTAGCATCTGATTCCGTTTTCTTTTTTTTTTCTTCCTGAGCAGGACATGGAGAACAATTTACAAGTGTGAGGGAAATCATTTCCTCAGGGCTAATCGTTACACAGGAATGGAATGCAGACGCCCAAAAAACGTGGCAGTGATAAACAGATATGTAAATAAAGAGGGCAGATCCCGACATAAATAGACTTCTCGTCTTCCTAGGTATTGTACAAGAGCTTCTAGAGTTTTGTGCAGCTGTTCTAATGTGGAGCTAAATGTGCTATAGCTTCACAGACCATGATCCAAAGTTACTTTTTGACTAGACACAAAACTTCTATCTTGACTAGTATAGACCGTCCACACACACCCACATATTAGATATATGATTATATATATACATATATATGTATATATATATATATATATATAATATAAATATATATATATATATATATAATATATTATATATATATATAATATATATATATATATATATATATATATATATATATATATA